GCGCATACCGTCACCCGCACCCCCGACCTTGCCTCCCGACACGCCCAAATAGCCTGCCTCAGCCTGCCCATGATGAGTTCAGAGCCAGACTTGATCCAACGTGGGCGCCTATTGTGGGGTGCTTAAGAATGTTTGAAGGACGCTCCTCAGCATACCATTTACTTGCAACAGTTCAGCCTACAGGCAGAAACATACACAACCACTCTATCAATGCAGAACGCAGCATCCAGGGCTTTGCTATCAGTTTGCTTGGTTGCCTGAGATGGTCGAGGGTGGTTGATCGACCTCCATCCAGATCATCTTTCCATTCTCGATCAGAACTCAAAATGACCAAACCAGCTGGTAATTACAATACAATACAGCTACCAAATGTATGACATCTCTGCTAACAGATCCATGATTTCTCGAGCCATTTCTACTCGTTGATGCTGCAGCACCTATAGATGGACGAATGTCGTCTCTCTGTGCTGATCTTCATTTCACTCAAGCTCAAGTTCAAATAACTTTCTTATTGGTCACCGGAAATGGGTCAAGTTCAATGACTCAGACAACTACTTTAATGCAACGCAGGGAAATTAAAATCTTTCACAGACTCCAGTGCACAAATTATAATTTTGTCAAGCCATCAATTTCACCTCAAGGAATTTATGTCCATGATTTTTGGATGACACTGGTATGAATGAATTCCTGAAGAAACGAATGATTGATTACTCCCCATAAAACTTTCCCCTTCTCCGGAAGGAATGTAGAATACGGTGCATAGTACGGAGATGGAGAACAATAGCAATGTGAGTGGGGAGCGACCTTGGAAATGTAATAAGTAAAGGAGGAAGGCCAATTCGGTCCGAAAAAGAAAGATCATACTAGTTTGTATCATAACGAAACCTGAAGTGCAAGCATGTTCGACGATCTGTCCGCTTATCAGAAGCCCCCTTACCCCGTCTATTATAATTTGTCACGGTATGAACAGCTGAAGAAGTACCACGAATATGCGAAGCAGATCCCGAATCAGAAGGAAAATCTGCCGTATTTCTTCGTCTTCGACTGGGAACTGGACACGGATTGGGCCGAATGTGTCCACATGTGGCTCATGGATCATTGGCCCCTCTCTTTCGTCTTCGCTGCCCTCTATCTGATCCTCGTGTTCTGGGGTCGGCACTGGATGAGAAACCGGCCGGCCTGGGAGATGAAGAAATCCCTGATCGCTTGGAATCTTTTCCTCTCCGTCTTCAGCATTCTTGGCGCTTCTCGAGCCATACCGGAATTCTACCACAGCATTCGAGGGAATTCCCTCTACTTCTCAATGTGCTTGGGGGGGGGGGGGGGGTGAGTCCAATTCTTTGTCTCTTCCAAGACACGTATAGATCGGGTAAAACCATCTAAGTTCGGACACTATTACGCACATCGTTAAAAAACGAAGCATTGGTGAGCTTTCCATCAGAAAAATTAATTCGCTGCTTGGAAGAGCGGATCCTAAGGGTGACCTGGCAAATACTTTGTTTTCTAGCAATTTATTTTACAGTGTCCGAACTTAGGTACTGGTCTATAATTAGGTACTGTCCGAACCTAGATGGTTTTACCCTCAGTCAGTGTTTGCATGCTGTAATAATTATACATACTATCATTCCCCGTCACATTGTGACGGTATCTAGACATTAGTTTATTTGAGTTGATATTCACGCCATCAATATTGCATGCTGTGCCAGACGTCAATCTAAAGTCAATGTATTTGAACTGATGTGAAGGTTCCCAAACAGCAAGTTTATGTTAATTTTACGTAAAATGAATGTAAATTTTTTTTTCCATTTTATATCATTTTTACGCAAACCATTGTCAAGAATTGATATCTTGTTTACGTGAACATGCTGCTTGGGTAAGAAAACCTGATGCTATATCGGGAAAGCCAGTACTTAATTGCATTTGTAAGGTGCAGGGAACAAGGGTTCTAGTGAGGAATCTTGGTATTGCAACTGCGGGATGGTCAGCTAAAGTTTCATATGGAAAGTGTGATGTTAACTTTGCATATACTCGATATCATTTATTTTACGTCCGATGGAGTGACGTCTAGTAACGAAAAATACAGTACACTTTGGTGACGTAAATATAGGAACGTAAATTTTACATAAACGTGTTGTCATTTTCATAGCAATCGCAAGAAATTTATATTGTTTGCAAAAAATTGATGTTTACGTAAACATGCTGCTTGGGCTAATCACTGTCCTGAATGGTGTCAACGCTTTTAAGGATGAAAATTTATCCTGGGATTTTATCCATGATTGTTACATTAAGGTGGTCCACAACCACATTTGTTGCAGGCAATATGCTTTGTTTTTGGAAATATTGGGAATCTCCAGAATGGCTACCGACATCCCTGTGCACATTTTGAATGATGGCTTGTTCCGAGTCGACAGCGAAATCCTTGTGCACAGCTATGGTGTCCACATACCGGGTGCCTTCCATGTGGGGTAGTTTTCCTTCACCCAATCGTAGGAGCCATTCTGCATATGGCATACGTCTCCTGGCTTCATCTGGGCGTCCCGTTTGCTTGCAATTAGCCACTCTCATTCTCAGTCAGCTTGAGTAAAATGCATCGGTCCCACGGTGGTGACTGTTTCAAACTTGCATCAATGATGGCTGGTTTCCGACCACGTCGAACCACAGGGAGAATCTGACGAAAATCCCCCAGCAGCACAACAGTTTTCTTTTCAAAGATGCATTTGGTTTGCATCACGTCTTGAAGTGTCCTGTCCAGAGCTTCAAGAAGATATCTGTGCATCATAGGTGCTTCATCCCACACAATGAGGCTGGCGGTTCGAAGGAGTTTGCCAGCGACATCTCGTGGGGATACTTGGCATGTTGATTCCCAGACTCCCAGACTGTTAGAATGGATTCCAAAATAAGTGTTCTGTGCACCCTGCAGTATCTCCAGGAGGATTCTGAAGATGTGCTCATCCTTAGTCCTGTTTGCAACAGTTGATCCTTCTGAAACCCTCGCTATCCGAAGTTGGACTGGCTCCTCTGGATCACAGAAGTACATCTGTAGGCATGTTGGCTTGACTTTTGCTGCATTCAACGGTTGTCCAAACCTGCGGTAGACCATACCTTGAATCCTGAAGGATGACATCCTCCCTGGCAAGGTCACATCTGTGACCTTAAAGATTGCCATTGCCATGACCGCATTAAGTCTGCGCAGGTTTGCCCTGAAGTATCGCGAAATGTCATCAATATCTGTAAAAAGCCTCTGTAGTCTTGGAGGTGGATCTGGCACATCTTGAAAGGCGACTTTTCCATGATCACAACATGGTCCAAATTTTGGTTGGCTGAGGGTTCCTCCACTTCTCTCATCCTTCGACAGCAGACATTGACATTATCTACATTCCTTGTCCATAGGCCCACATGAGAACAGAGATATCAATAAGTCATGTTCTTTAATTTCATCCACATCATATTGTTTAGCAATATTCAATCTCGTCAGCATCATATTAGCCCGAAATTGTCGTAACCTATCGGCTTCCCCCTGTCTGATTCCACCTTGAGGTCCCTGACTTCTGTAGGCACGGGCTTGTTGATGCCTCTCAGCATCTTCTGAGATGCCGTCTTGTTTCTTCTTGGGCTTCTGGATGGTTAGGGAAAATCCTGAAATGGAAACTGTCGATCAGTCAGAATCAGTTAGACGATCAACTCTCGAATCAGAACGTCAATGATAGAAATCTTCCATATTTCTTTTTTTCTCCGAAAGAACGAAAACTTTTATTGTAATGAGGCTTTTTTCGACCGTCGGTTCGCCCCAGCGAACGTAAGATTCGCTGGTGTACACGTAGGTATAGATCACAGTTGCACGACATAAGGCCCGCCAAGACTGGTGGCGTTGTATGTGCTACTACAGTGTTTTTTCACTTGAGTTAGACAAATTTTCACTTGACTTCGACACCCATGCATCAGGAAGGTTCTATGCACATGTGTCTGAGTCAAGTGAAAATTTGTCTAACTCAAGTGAAAAACGCTGTATGACTCTTGCCCTGTTGACTACAAATATGGTCAGCCAGACTGAGGCCTGTGGTATGTGATTTAAAAAAATGGCCCTCGCAGTCTTTTGAGTTGTGCACACCTGGTATAGATGGACCACCGATTATTCAGAACTATCGTTAGTTGAATGAAGAAATGATTTGAAGTAAAGAAGGAACTATGCTCAAATATTACATTCCTGCAATGTTCTATTCCATGAAGTTGCAAAATATTTTTTGTTGCTCTATTGAAACTTCGTTTTATTTTCTTTAAAAATGTTATTATATACGCGTATACTTTTTCTCTTAGTCATCTGCGGCACAACCCGGTGGTAGCAAATTGGGGGATCTTCTTCGTGATCTCAAAGGTGATTGAGCTGGGAGACACAGCATTCATCGTCCTAAGGAAGCAGCGTCTCCTTTTCCTCCATTGGTACCACCACATCACGGTGCTCCTATACGCATGGTTCTCCTGTGCCCAGGCGATCCCCACGGCCCGTTACTTCGTACTCTAAACTACACGACCCATGCACTCATGTACCCTTATTACTTGGCCCGGGCAGCTAAGATCCGCGTCCCTCGCCACCTTGCCATGTTCATCACCCTCTTTCAACTCACTCAGATGATCTTCGGCATGTATACCAACGCCTACGTCTACTTCGCGAAGAAAGCCGGACTCCATTGCGAGACTCCGTGGGAAAACATCTACGTCTCCGCCCTCATGTACCTTTCCTATTTCTTGCTCTTCTTAAATTTCTTCATCGATGTCTACATCAGACACGCCTTTAAGGGCATGAAGAATGCTGCGGCGCAGGGCAAGAGCGTTGATGAGGAACTAGTAGAATATCTCAAAATCAACTGAGCGAATAATTGGAATTCCGATAGGATGTCAAAGTGGGAATTCATCTCGGAAGCAAAAGGTTGCGCGAATCACATACCCTTGAACATATCATGCAGGTTTTCTGGAGTTTTGATATCATTATGTTGGCGCTGTTGCTCAGATGAATAAACGGAATAAATTTCGAGCCATTTGTTAGCCAATTTTGATGTGAATCGGAAAATTTCATGATCGGCCTCGCTGAGATGTTGGCCCATGTTTCTCCTCTCTGATCCAATGTGGGCCTATTGTGGTGTGCTTAAGCATTTTTGATGGATGCTCCTCAGCACACCATTTAATTGCAACAGTTCAGCTTACAGGCAGAAACATACACAACCACTCTATCAATGCAGAACGCAGCATCCAGGGCTTTGCTATCAGTTTGCTTGGTTGCCTGAGATGGTCGAGGGTGGTTGACCGACCTCCATCCAGATCATCTTTCCATTCTCGGTCAGAACTCAAAATGACCAAACCAGCTGGTAATTACAGTACATTAAGCTACCAAATGTATGACGTCCCTGCAACCAGAACCATAATTTCTCGAGCCGTTTCTACTCGTTGACGCTGCAGCACCTATGTTAGGACGAATGTCGTCTATCCAGGCTGATCTTCATATGGAAGTGTGATCTCAAAACCTAATGGTGCGTCCAATTCACACAATATCCTAGCAAATGTGACATATACATGGTGGGCTAAAAAAAAAAGGCTGTTATTTTTGGTAAGTTGTTATTCTCATTGTACGACACCAATTCTAGTTAAATTTGGTAAGCTTATAGGGTGACTCAATTGAAGTTTTAATGCCGAATTTCAGCTTTCTGGCTCTAAATTTAAAGGAGTTGTACTTATTTTCTGATGAACCATGACAAAATTTGCTGACGAAAACATCTATGTGAACATGAGACCGGGATGATAGGGGGGGGGGCGAATTCAATACCTTCCAATCCCTGCATGATGTTATAGAGGAATAGTGGGAAACAGCGCCTCAAAGATTTATCGACTGAGTCATTGGTTTCTGGCGTCCCAGACTAGTGGCTTGTGTTCAACAGAATGGAGGTCACATTTAGCACCTTTTCAGTTGAAATGAACCTACCTAAACCAAATCGTGTACTGTCGTTTTTGGCATTTGGGCATATTGTTATTGTTCTGTTTCTTTGCTTGCATGTTTTATCAGTTGTGGGAAATTGAAAGTTTAAAGAAAAAATGAAGGCATACTTTTTTGGTGATGAAAAGTGAATAAAATACCATCCACATAGTTATTGAAAATTTGATTTGACATTTGGCACACCAACTCCAATTGATTCACCCTATGTACCTACTAAATATCATTAAAATCGGCTGCCTACACTCAAAATGATAACAATGGGCAATGACAGATGGGCGTCCAAAAAGCGGTTCATCTTGAGGAGTTCAATCTCCACGTGAAAACTTCTCAAACTACTCTTATGCCATGGAATTGCTTAAACAGGCAACGAGGTACACCTTTTTTATGCGACGGATTGCGTCATTCGCGTAGCGCCCCTCACCAAACTGGAAAAGTAAGCAATGTCAGATATGGTATTCCAGCCGCATTTTTCAATCGATTGAGAAAACTTTTACCTGAAAGCTATACATGCAGATATACATGATTTTTCAGAACTTCTTAGCCTCTTTCTTTTCATATATAACATAGCGACAGAACAAGCATAGGCGGCGCATCATGAACCCCTCAAACTTAACCCACTAAAAGTTCCAAATGTTTTTCCCAAACCTTCTATGATGCATGTTCACGTGGAACCAAGATGGTCTCGACTGTCCAGCTGAGCGGACGTCCTGAGTCATCAGTATCATGATCATGAGTGTAATCAGTCAGGTCTTGCCTTCACACTCTGAAGCGACGCATCAAAAAGGTAGGAAAGGTGAAGTCTCCCAAAGTAACCCCTAAGCATATCCACTACTGGGGGTAAAGCTTCCACTTTGCGAAGAGGTACGAGTGCATAACTTTTACTCAAGCTCAAGTTTATATAACATTCTTAGTAGTCACCTGAAGTGGGTCAAGTTCAATGACTCAGATAACCGCTTTAATGCAACGCAGGGAAATTACAATCTTTCACAGCCTGGAAGTGACTTCAGTGCACAAATTAGTATCTTGTCAAACCATCAATTTCACCTCAAGGAATTCATGTCAATGGTTTTTGAATGACACTGGTATGAATGAATTCCCGAAGAAACGAATGATTGATTACTCCCCGTAAAACGTTCCCCTTCCCAGGAAGGAATGTAGAATACAGTGTAGTGTACGGAGATGGAGAACAATAGCAATGTGAGTGGGGAGCGACCTTGGAAATGTAATAAGTAAAGGAGGAAGGCCAAATCGGTCCGAGAAGGAAGATCCTACTAGTTTGTATCCCGACGAAACCTAAAGTGCAAGCATGTTCGACGATCTGTCCGCGTATCAGAAGCCCCCTTACCCCGTCTACAATAATTTGTCACGGTACGAATAGTTGAAGAAGTACCACGAATATGCACAGCATATCCCGAATCAGAAGGAAAATCTGCCGTATTTCTTCGTCTTCGACTGGGAACTGGACACGTATTGGGCCGAATGTGTCCACACGTGGCTCATGGATCATTGGCCCCTCTCTTTCGTCTTCGCTGCCCTCTACCTGATCCTCGTGTTCTGGGGTCAGCACTGGATGAGAAACCGGCCGGCCTGGGAGATGAAGAAATCCCTGATCGCTTGGAATCTTTTCCTCTCCGTCTTCAGTATTCTCGGCGCTTGTCGATTCATACCGGAATTCTTCGACAGCATTCGAGGGCATTCCCTCTACTACTCAATGTGCTTGGGGAAGTGAGTCTAACTCCTTTTTTTCCTGGAAGCACAGACCAGCTTTTCAATGTATGGATACCATATTTACAATAGAACTTACTTCTGACCTACAAATGTAAGAGGTTGCTGCACACGTCCTTAAATTAATACTCGAAATACATGAAGTTGCCATTTGCATGTCAAGACTTAAAACTATTGTAGATTCAATGGCTTTAAGTGTATGAGTCTCATTGTATCGTCCATCTGACGAGACAGCTTGGACGACAGTATCTTATTGATAGTTTGAATATCATTTTAAATATTTAGAGTATTATTAATATGAAGAAAAAAAATAATATATTTTTTTTTCACCAGTCATCTGCGGCACAACCCGGTGGTATCAAATTGGGGGATCTTATTCGCGATCTCAAAGGTGATTGAGCTGGGAGACACGGCATTCATCGTGTTCAGGAAGCAGCGCCTCCTTTTCCTCCATTGGTACCACCACATCACGGTGCTCCTATACGCATGGTTCTCCTGTGCCCAGGCGATCCCCACAGCCCGGTACTTCGGCACTCTTAACTATACGACCCATGCACTCATGTATCCCTATTACCTGGCCCGGGCAGCTAAGATCCACGTCCCTCGCCGCCTCGCCATGTTCATCACCCTCTTTCAACTCACTCAGATGATCTTCGGTATGTATACCAACGCCTACGTCTACTTCGCGAAGAAAGCCGGACTCCACTGCGAGACTCCGTGGGAAAACATCTACGTCTCCGCCCTCATGTACCTTTCCTACTTCTTGCTCTTTTTAAATTTCTTCATCCACGCCTATATCAGACGCGCCTTTAAGGGCATGAAGGATGCTGCGGCCCAGGGCAAGAGCGTCGACGAGGAACTAGTAGAATATCTTAAAATCAACTGAGCGAATTATTGGAATTCCGATAGGATGTCAGACAAAGTGGGAGTTCATCTCGGAAACAAAAGGTTGCGCGAGTAACCATGTGAAGGACCCTACTTCAACTCTCACAATACTGCACTTCCTTTAACGTTATTCTAAGGGCAATCGATGGCAGTATCGCCGTGTGAAACATAAAATGTTGTTGGCATCTGTGGTTTACTGTTGGACAATTTCACGACGGTGAGGGGCGAGGCGAGCGAGAATACAATCCGTGGTAGGCAAAAAAAGTTCACCATTCTTCAATTAGCTGATTCATTAGTATTAAATAGCCAGGCAATTTGGCGATCATCAGTGTCAGTCTTCCATGGCCTAATGCAATTTCCTTCATGGTATTTCGACAATAAGGATTAATATTATTTTTGGTCACAAGAAGTGGAAAAACCTTATTAGCTTCACCATGCTGGCCTAAACATTCTGACTTTCTTTTTTTCCTATGAATACCACCATAAACAAGGTTAGTATTGAAATTACCTGTACTTATCAAAGGTTATATTGAATATGCTTGCTTGTGCTTCGATAACAGCTGCCAGCGGAGCCACAGGTCGTTCTCTCTGACTCACTGGTCCGAGGATATTTATCCAAGCGTCTGAAAGAAAATAATGTAGGCATAACTGGGACTACTCTGCGCCACAAAAAAAAATTAGTGCGAAAAAACAATTGGAAATATTTTCTTGAATTAAGTCGCATCCAATCAAGGAAGAGGGTTTATCCTGCAACTTATATGACGCATCCTAATTAGTATAGATAGAGCAATCAAATGAAAAATTGGCGCTTTTATTGCCTACCCTATAGAAGTTTGTATGCATCGATACAAGATTCTTCTTCCCTTTCGTTGTTCCCTTATGTCTGCATTTGTTTTTGAAAATGATGAACATACCCTTGAATATTTCATGCAGGTGCTTTGGAGTTGTGATATGTTTTCTATGGCCCAGTTGTTCAAATGAATGAACTGAATAAATGTCGAGCCATTTGTAAGCCAATTTTGAGGTGAGTCTGAAAATTTCATGGTCTTCAAGATGAACCCCGTTCTGGACGCCCATTTGCAGGCAGACGTGGTATGGTGCGGAACCTCATCGATTATGGACTTTGGCGCATCGTCATCGATGAGGGATGGGCGTCCAGAGCGGGGTTCATCTTGAAGAGTTCGATCTCCACGTGAAAACTTCTCAAACTATTCGAATGACGTGGATATGCTTGAACAGGCATCGGGGCACACCTTCTTTATGCCACGGACTGCGTCGTACGCGTTGCGCCCCTTATTGAACCGGAGAAATAAGTAAAGACGGATGTGGTCGTCGAGCAGCATTTTTCAATCGAGCGGGAAAACTTTTCCCTGAAAGCTATACACGGCAGATATACACAATTTTACAGAGCTTTTTATCCTCTTGCTTTTCACATATAACATAGCGACAGAACAAGAATAAGCGACGCGGCACGAACCCCTCAAACTTAACCCACTAAAAGTTCCGGATACTTTTTCCCAGACCCAATATAATGCATGTAATCACGAGGAACCACGATGATCTCGACTGTCCAGCTGTACGGGCATCCAGAGTCATCAATATCATGATTATAAGTGTGCCTTCACACCGAATCAGTCTAGTCTAGTCCAGTCAAGGTTAGTCATGCTTCAGTTAAGTCACTTTAGTCAAGACCAGTCATGCCTTCACCATTACCAACGTATACCTCTACTTCGAATCAGTAAAGTCTAGTCATGTTTAGTCATTGGTCAGTCCAGTCCCTTCAGTCAAGCTCAGTCAGGTGGTTACGCACGCAGAACCGTAATGCCAGTTCAGTTCACCATTTTGTCCAGTGGTGGTCTTGTTGAGCAGCATGGAGGAGAGTGAGGAAGAACTGGTGTCTACCCATGTTTTGTTGTGGCAATGGAGAAAGAGATGACGAAAGAAGTTGTGGGTGCATCCAATAAATTCCCAAAAGCGGCAATTCGATGAATACCGTCACTTTTTCATCGAATTGCAGAAAGATTCTGAGCGGTTCATTAGGTATTTTCGCATCAGGACATCCTCCTTTGAGAAACTCTTGCATCTCACAGCTCCACACATGGAGAAGCAAAACAGCAACTACCGAAGGGCTATCCCTCCAGAGTAACAGCTAGGAGTCACACTGAGTTGAGTCGCAAACATAATTCTATAGGTAACTCTCCGATGAGGGCTATATGCAATGAGGTAATGAAGAATTCGCTCTTCAACCCCTTTATTTAAAAAACACAAGAGAAGGGGGGTGGGGTCCTACGGGATCACGAATTCGTGCCAGATAGAGAATGCCAGGTCATCAGTTGCAAGCTGAGACCATATTTCCGAGTCTGATGTCACACCTATCTTTCTCACTAATTAACAGTTCATGTCCTGTAAGCTAATGCGAGAGTTGGAGAGATTCAAGGAGGTGGTGCCGTTTCGCCTCTCATGACCTATCTCATTCTCCAGTTCATTTGTGCAATCAGGAGCCGCTCTCCTATCTAAATCAAACCCAATCAATTTCTAATGAGGGATAAAGGGAACTCATTTTCAAGTTACTGCCCCTTCGCTTCCATGTGAAGGTGAACTTTGAGTTTGGGTAGCATGAGCGTGCTCCTGTGTTGTGCGAGCGAACGGAAGCCCTGATTTCTAGTACAGAGCAGCAGTAGCAGGGCAAGAAGACGGAGTTGAGGCATAGTGATGAGGAGGTGGCACAAAAGAAAAAAAACAAGGGGGCAGGGTCGTAGATCTCAGGCTTTCGCAAACCAAAGATATCAGTACTTCCACTTGGGAACTCATTTCGCGCATGCATCCAAGTCCCATACCACACTAGAGACCGATAAAGACTGACGGAAAAGTAGAGCCTGTGCCTATTTCCGTCTTCACTAAACGTGACTGACGAGGATTAGACGAGACTTGACTGATGCGGTGTGAAGTGGACATCAGAAAGAGCATGTTTAGCAATGGAGCTGTAAAAGTTTTGACTAGACTAAATATGATTTGACTCGACTAGACTGAAGAAGACTGATTGGTGTGCATGCACACTACGACTCCTCCAGCATGACTGGACTATACTAGACGAGGCTGATTCGGTGTGAATGCGGTATCAGTCATTGCATGTTGAGCTATGAGGCTCTAAAAGTTTCGACTTGACTAATCGTGACTAGTCTTGACTAGATTAGACTAGACTGATCCGGCGTGTGGGCACCCTAAGTGTCATCAGTCAGGTCTTGCCTTCTCACTCTGAAGCGACACATCAAGAAAGTAGGATAGGGGAAGTCTCCCAAAGTAACCCCTGAGCATATCCACTGCTTGGGGGGGGGGCCAAGTTTCCACCTTGCGAAGAGGTACGAGTGTATAACTTTTACTCAAGCTCAAGTTCATATAACATTCTTAGTAGTCACCTGAAGTGGGTCAAGTTCAATGACTCAGACAACCGCTTTAAAGCAACGCAGGTAAGTTAAAATCTTTCATAGCCTGGAAGTGACTTCAGTGCACAAATTAGTATCTTGTCAAGCCATCAAGCCTCAAGAAATTCATGCCAATGATTTTTGAGCAACACTAGTATGAATGAATTCCTGACGAAACGAATGATTGATAACTCCCCATAAAACTTTCCCCTTCCCCGGAAGGAATGTAGAATATGGTGTATAGTACGGAGATGGAGAACAATAGCAACGTGAGTGGGGAGCGACCTTGGAAATGTAATAAGTAAAGGAGGAAGGCCAATTCGGTCCGAAAAGAAAGATCATACTAGTTTGTATCCCAACGGAACCTGAAGTGCAAGCATGTTCAACGATCTGTCCGCTTATCAGAAGCCCCCTTACCCCGTCTACAATAATTTGTCACGGTACGAACAGCTGAAGAAGTACCACGAATATGCACAGCATATCCCGGCTCAGAAGGAAAATCTACCGTATTTCTTCGTCTTCGACTGGGAACTGGACACGGATTGGGCCGAATGTGTCCACATGTGGCTCATGGATCATTGGCCCCTCTCTTTCGTCTTCGCTGCCCTCTACCTGATCCTGGTGTTCTGGGGTCGGCGCTGGATGAGAAACCGGCCGGCCTGGGAGATGAAGAAATCCCTGATCGCTTGGAATCTTTTCCTCTCCGTCTTCAGCATTCTTGGCGCTTCTCGAGCCATACCGGAATTCTACCACAGCATTCGAGGGAATTCCCTCTACTACTCAATGTGCTTGGGGAAGTGAGTCTAATCCCATTTCTTCTCGGAAGCACAGACCAGCTTTCCAATGTATGGATACCGTATTTGTTACCATAGTTGTTACTTCTCACCTACAAATATAAGAGGTCGCTGCGCTCGTCCTTGTTTTTAATACTCTAAATACTAGACTGATCAAAAAGGAACGGAACTTTTGGTGTAGCTCATTTATTACTCGTCCAAATAATTGTCCCCTAAGCAGGCGTCACTTTGCTTGCCTGTTCGCTTTGCGATTCATGGTAAAAATTTCAGTGGTCTTTCGTCTAAGGAACTCTGTTGGTGATAAAAAAAAAATTGTCATGGTCAGTAACTTTCGGCGGATTTTACTGGAATGTCAGCACTGAAGCGAAGGGCAAAAATGAAGCTCTGAAAATCGTTCACTAAGACTCTCGAGCTTTTGCCGCAAATGTACCTACTACCTGCAGGTACTTATTGCGGATATCTGTGCATACATCTTTTGCAAAAGCTTTGTGAACGATTTTCAGAGTTTCATCTTTGCCCTTTGTTCCAGCGCTGGCATTCCAGTAAAATCCGCCGAAAGTTACTAACCATGGCAATTTCTTTTTATCACCAACAGAGTTCCTTAAACGAAAGACCACTGAAACTTTTACCATGAGTCGCAAAGTGAACATAGATCATGCCTGCAGAGTGGCCAACGATATTGATGAGTGTTATTTGAGCTACAGAGAAAGTTCCGGTCCTTTTTGATCAGCCAATTACTTGAATTTGCTATCTGTGGGTCAAGAATTAACTCTATTATAATTAACTCAATGGCTTTAAGGGAATGAATTAGTTTCATTGTTCTTTTTATGGACCATCTGACGGTCCAGCTTGGACGACAATATCTTATTAATATCAATAGTTTGAATATTATTTTTAAATATTTAGAATGTGTACTATAAATGAAAAAAAAATTTTTCACCAGTCATCTGCGGCACAACCCGGTGGTATCAAATTGGGGGATCTTATTCACGATCTCAAAGGTGATTGAGCTGGGAGACACGGCATTCATCGTGCTCAGAAAGCAGCGTCTCATATTCCTTCATTGGTATCACCACATCACGGTGCTCCTATACGCATGGTTCTCCTGTGCCCAGGGGATCCCCACGGCCCGGTACTTCGCTACGCTGAATATCACGGCCCATGCACTCATGTATCCATATTACCTGACCCGGGCAGCTAAGATCCGCGTCCCTCGCCGCGTCGCCATGTTCATCACCCTCTTTCAACTCACCCAGATGATCTTCGGTGTATACGCCAACGCCTACGCCTACTTTGCTAAGAAGGCCGGACTCCACTGCGAGACTCCGTGGGAAAACATCTACGTCTCCGCCCTCATGTACATTTCCTACTTCTTGCTCTTTTTAAATTTCTTCATTCATGCCTATATCAGAAGCTCCTATAAGGACATGAAGGATGCTGCGGCCCAGGGCACGACCGTCGGCAAGGAATTCATTCAATATCTCAAAATCAACTAACGGTACTGAATCTCGAAATTATGTTCACACAAGTTGGTCATCATAAGGAAAACAATAGTGTGCGATGAAGCATAAATTGTGGATGGAATTTTATCACTTTCCTGCACCCTGCATTCGGACTTATTCTGAGGTAAGCGCGAGAGAGCGTAGAATAAGAAATACATCACCTCATCCCAAGAAACCTCTAGGAAGCCCGAAGCCCTACCAAAAAATCCCATCTATTTTAATACTGACGTTTTCGTTCCTCGCGTTTTCTCGGTTCTCTACAATGTTCCTCACAGAGTCCTCACCAAACAGCAAGTTATGCAAAGAAGGGAAATGTGCGGTGAAACAGCCCATTTGTGCAATTTGTAAAGCGTGTGCGAGAATGATGAATGTGTTTGCCATTTCTTTTTTTTATTCTGCCAAAAAAAAAAAAACACAAGCGAAATTCGTGAAGAGCTTAATCAAAGTGTTTCTGACAATGGCCTGCATGGCAACGGCAAAGCTGCCCCGAGTTTGCGCTTGTGCGAGCAAGAAAAAAAAAAGGGGGGGGGGGGGGGGGGAAGAGAGAGGCAGCAACTCACCGGCGCTGCGGCCTGGCTGTGGCTGACATCCGCCCGAGGAACGTCGTGACGTCACTCGATCCCGGAGAAACTCGATGGAGTCTGCTGGTCTCCGGTGTTTTGTGCTGGCAAGAAATATCCCGGAACGTGCTAGCGAATGAGTCTGGTCGTGTGCCGATCACAGAATGGTTAAATTGATTGCTGTTTTTTCGAAGGCCTTCAATGTTTTCTCTGATCAATACGGTAATAAAATTGCTGCCATCGATCGGTTTCATTATTTCCGATAATATCCATTTCCATTGCTCACGGAGATAGTTTTCAGATCACGATGGAGAATTTGCCAGGAAATCGATCTATATATACCAGTTCCAGCAAAGAATTTTCTCACGTAATTTGTAGAGACTCAGGAACTGCGCAGCAACCGATTCGCCCGTTAGTAGATTCACGTAATTTTGATTAATGCGTAGAAACCAAGTATGAGTATGGCCTTAAGAGAAAGAAGTTCCGCACATGCTATATTGCAATACTTAGTGCAGTATTCAATATAAAAATTGTAATATATCACAGATGATCCATGCCTACAAGCGTATCATCGAGGCCTAGGGATGAACCGCGTCAGCTTAGGCTAAGACTCAGCTGTCTGCCCGTTGGCCAATGGCTACCACGATTGCCTTGGCCTAGGCCATGGATGTCCGATTGCTGTGTTGGACGGTCGTATCCGAAGTAACATTTGCGACCGGCTGGACTGCTATGAAAGTACTTGACTACGTGGCTTTAAATGAGAATTGTAATGGATTGTAATACTTTAGGTATAGGGTGCAAATTACTGAAGCGAATGCGAAACATGTGATGAGTCGTATCCAGCCCGCATGTCGTACAGAGGACAACCCTGCCCGGCGACTGGCCTAACTTCATTCTCCATCGGGGAAGCCTGGAACACGTAGCCTAACATCTCCATGCAATGCTCCAATATAGGAAGGGAGGATTATTAGGACAGGTAGCGCCGAATTGCACACGAAGTTCGTCGAGGTGAGACACAGGCGCAGTTGAGGTTAGTCCAAGTCGTTCATCTGCCCACAAAAGAAATTTCGAGGACACCAAAGAAATGCATTGCTTCCGGATTGAATTCGTACACCCCTCCCTCCTGATAGTTGCGCATCTCAAATGCAGGTACATCTTACACATGGGTGTTTCGTGTATCACCTGATGAAGCGGAACCTCTGGAAATTTGTGCTTTCTCTATTCTCCACTACAGCTGGTACGAATTCATTCCGGAAACAATGTATCTCGAAGTACCCAACTGTAAGGCCGTTCGATCTGCCATTCTGTGCCTTGCCGAAAGTGCCAGCTCAGCGGTCCTCTTCAGCGCGGATTTCCTAAATGAAATCTATCGCGTGAATGCGTCCGGATATCATTTTACAAAGAATTTCACTCATTTGTGCGTCTTCCTCGAAGTCGCAATTTGGTTTGGGAGCGAATGCAGTTTCTTCGCCGTTTTTCTCGGACTCGTCGCCACGTGATGAAGCACGACTTCGCTCGGCCGAACGATCGAAAATTTTCGTCGTCTGTCGCCGCAGTTATGCCCGCGGTTTCGTTTTCAAAAGAACGTGACGAAGAGCACGATGGGGAATTACTTGTGTTTTGAGCCATCGGAGATAATCCAGACTGTGCGTGAAATGGGAAAGCACCGAATCGGACAGAAGAATGTTTGGCATTAACGGGAATTTATTTTATTTGCTATTTCCCCCAAACATCCTTTCGTTGTATTTCTTGGTCTCTCTCACAGGTCCCTCACTTGGTCCCTCTCATCTTTGTCTCCTTGGCTCGGAGTTCGTTCTGAAAAGGGTTCGGATTGCAATCCACAGCGAATCCCTTCTGTATTTTTTTTTTCTCCCAGTATTTTGAAAGCCTCTCGGATCTCCCACGAGTTTCTTTTTTTTTTTCATTGGTGTCTGCTTCTGATAGTTTGCCTCGTGTTGTGCCTAGTTTGCAACTTCAACGTGTGTCCACTAAGATGTACTTTTAGGGGAGTGAAAGCATCTCGATCAGGGCGACGTCGATTTAACGCGTAAATCGAGGCGCCGGAGTCCGACGATGGGCCGCGTTGTCGCCGGACTTGTGTGAATTGTGCCACCGGTGGCACCTGGCAGGAAAAGTCCAAGAACAGTCGGCTAACGGCTGGGCCGACTTAGCCAGCTCATTCCGGGGGGGAATTCCCGGCTGTGAAGTCTTTGTATGCACGCTAAGACTTGCGGGCGACTGTCTCTTGTTGGCTTTGATGGACCCTGTGATTAAGAGCGTTTAATTTCTGTGTCTCGTGGAATCGTCTGTTTCTTCTTTGGAGGAAATAGGCACATTTGCTATCATGAAACCCTTTGCATATAAATGCAAACTTGTTACTTGCTCTATTCGCGACAGCAGCAGTGTTTTCCGCAACTCGGAGATGGAATCCTTCAGCTTCGGAATGGAAATACCTCTACGAGAGGAAATTAAAAAGTTCCTGGACATCCAAAAAAAGATCGCAACTTTTGAGGTTTACTCCGCTTCCAAGTTTTGATTCGAGGTGATCTTGAAGTCCATTTATTTAGGAAACCTATGCATTTGTTCTACGCCCGTAGGAAATGCTGTATTTTTGCGCCTGAAGTTTCTTATAACGCAAAATACGTTGGTTGAAAAGTTACTGAAGCGAAATACTCATAAGCAAGCAAAACAAGCAAAATTAGTTCCGGTCCGGTGGAGTGAATTGAGACGTACAGTATATGGTTAACCTTCGGTATGAAGACCTTGCCGTTTGACCGGCACGCGACCTTGGCGGGAGGCTGTAAAAGGGAGGCATGCGATACGCCCGGGCATGCCGCATGCCGGAGTACGATTGAGAAATGATCGAGAAATGCCTCTAGAAATGCCGTCACAGTCTTTCCTGGTCTTTCCAGATGTTCGGGGACGTTTTGTTTCAGGCTCGTCGGCTTCTCTGAAGGATTCCTCACCTTCGTGGATTGCCGGAATTTTCTTCAAGCCAGTACGTAGAATCAGTTTCAGCGTGAGAACTCGTTTCGCTTAGATTTGATGGAAGATGATACACAGAAAAACATGAAGGTGCTGTGAGGTAAATATTTTATACGTTATGAGGTTCAAACGTATCTGGTAATATATGTTGGTTGAAAAGGTACCGAAGCTAAATAAGATAGAAATGCTTACCCTTCTTATCTCTATTCAAAAAGAACAGATCGGGTCTTTTCTTTAGAATCCCACGTGTGTCACGGAGCGCACATTGCATCATTCGGCACAATTTCTCACACAGTCAGCGAACATGTCAGCATATGAGGAAGATCTCCTTACGTCATGGTGCTTACAGAAAAGGCTCCTGTTTTCATGACAAAACTCCTAAGATGTTGGTTTACACTTCGCTGTCCTCGTGCAAAACCCCAACATTCAAAACTTTGCCGAGTCTTTGATTGCCATTGAAACCTGATACTTATACTTTTACCAACTATTAATATACTAGTATCATGATGGGAAGAGGACAGAGAAAGGAATTCTTCTCCCAAGGTCCGGTGCGTCCTGACTTGGGTTCGGATGTTTGGGGGAACATAAGCGCCATCTCTTGTATATTTCGAGTACTGCATTGGGAACCCGGACATTGCGTCAACAACTTACCGATGGGAAACGTCTGGACCACATGCGCACATGGGTACGTACGTACGTATGGATGAGGTCCCGACAGACACAAAACTGTTCGTCTCACATGTGTACCTCACCTTAGACGATTCTATTAATACTAATACTTTGCTGCGTATTGAACGAATGTAAAATTAGTCTCAAATTGGACCCTACAGGAAGTAGGCGGCTCTTTTTTACTGCTTCATTGGTGGTGAACTCGCAAGATGAGACGAGGCATGCAAAAGGTATTTTGACCATTCCAATTGTTTTTTGTTTTGTTTTTTGTTTTTTTTTTGTTGCTTTTCGAAATGTCAGCAGGCTTTGGTACGTCCCCGTAAAAGGTGGCAGAAAAACCAGAGGAAATTCGAAAGCCATTTCGCGCCGAAACCGGAACCACAGTCGCCTCAACGAAGCTTCCATGGATGGCCGAAAAGAGCAACGCGATTTTATCCTCTCTACTCCTGCATTTAGTGTCTCTTGCAATCGAGAATAACCGCACACGTACCGATCGCTTCTCGTATCACGACAGAAATAATAATTTTAAAAAAGTTTCAGGAACTCTGGGGTCATTTAAGGAATGCAAAGTGCATGGAACTCAAAAAATTTCACTCGGTTGAAATTATTGGAGTCATGGAAATATTTTCGGAGTCCTGCAGAGCTGAAGTCGATAGGAAGGCCCACGTTCACAGGCTCGAGTACTCGCAAGTACTTGCTAAGTACTCCCTAACCGTCTCAACTTTCCTTTATTGGACTCTTGCGCGAGAAGTTTCTTTTTTCTCTCTCCACTGCACTGAAGATGAAAAATGGATGACGTCATAGTGGCGTCATACTAATGTCCATCTAGGAAAAACTTCAAAGCGGGGATTATCATTTAGTTAAAATGCGTCCGAAAAAGTCGCTATTGCTTGAAAGAGAGACGAGGGCGTTTCCTTTCCCTCTTTGAAGTTTGGCACCGCTTTCAAAATTCTTTAACATAATCTTGCTAATGGAAATTTTTTTTCGCTCCAGAGATGCTGTGACTTCTTTTTCATCCTATGATAATAAATGAAGAAGGGAATGTCCTCAGTACAAAAATATTTTAGCCAAGTTTTGGGTGCTTGCTTTTTTTTATTCAAGGAGAAGTATTACGCGCGATTTCACATTTATACTCAAGTAATTGAAACACACACTCGAGTACAAATGCGTTTCAAGTACCGTTCCACTCTGGGTACTGGTAAATTCTTCATACACGAACTGTTCCGCGCAGTGGATGAAATGACGCAAGAAATGAAAGGCTGGTGGAATTTCCATCTTGACCGACCGGCACCTCAGATCGCCGGTCGATGATTCATCGGT